GGGGGACGGGGGGGGAGGGGACGTTGTGCTGCTGTAGGGGCGAACCAAGTTCACAAGAACAACCCGCCACCCGCCAATATTCAAAATTTGAAGAATGAAGTTGATGGTGATCTTTGTGTCACGTGACATGTCGTCCCCACTAACAAAAACACAAATGGAAGAGTTCACACAAACACGTTCCAAAACACACACGTGAGAGGTAAAACGCCGTTTCACCAGTGGCAAGGAAAAGCCGAACCTCCACATCCAGCGCGTTTCCACCATGGGGGCTTGTAGAAACTTTCAGGCCCCCAAGAAGCGGAGCATCGCCATACGTTAGCACTAGCGGGACCTTGCAACTCTTCGCTGACCGTGTCCTTCGAGGGAAGAGTTGTATGATCCCGCTTGTGCTTTCGCTTGGCGACTTTCCGCTTCCTGGGGTCTCTGAAAGTCTTTACTAGGTCCATGGTGGCAACGCGCTGGATGTGGGGAAATTTAATTTCCTCAGAATTTGAAGTTGATAGTGTGCATGGTGTATTTTGTGTCAACGCACACATGTCGTTCCCGAAACCAAGATATTCAGTAGTAGAAGACACACAAAAACACGTTCCAAAACACACACACACACATGACAGGTAAAACGCCATTCCACCAGTGGCGAGGAAAAGCGCTTGTTGGGGTCCTAAAAGTCTTCACGACCTCCATGGTAGCAACGCGCTGGATGTGGGGATTTTTTTATTTTCCTCGCCACTCGTGGCACGGTGTGTGCGTGGCGTGTTCCGTTGCGCTTTCCAAAGTACGTTTTTCGTTCTGTCTCGTCTTCTTTCTTACCCGTTAGTTTGAACCGATTCACGGGCGCTGCTATACAATAGCGGACACTCGGTTCTACTCACCGGCAATGCTGAGAACCCCCCACTGGCTGTTGAAACGTCCGAATCACGTTTTCGCCTGCCTCAGCGCGGCTTTTCTGGTGACCGTCTAACGCTACAATAACCCTACCCCTGACCCCAAGGTTTTTGGAGTCACCCATCACTATGTACACCGTGAACAGTCGGGAGACTCGAAACGGCAGAAGCTGATTATGTAGCATAGCATAGCATGCTGCAGGTGTCGCTTGGTGTCGTCATCTTGTGTGCTTCTTGACTGTGATTTTTCTCATTTGATTGCGTGAACCGCACACAATAAGAGTACCCCCCAAGGGGGGCCCGCTGGAAGCGCCGCCGGAGGCCCCCCCCCCCCCCCCCCCCCTCTTTTTT